GATAATGATTATGAATGTTTCAGGGAAAAACAGTAAGGAGGCTGCATTAACATTTTACTAATTTATTACTAAACTAGTGCTTTCTTTGTTTTCGGCTTAAGAAATGAAGTCAGCGACAATGACTCGTCATCTCTGCAGTAGTGATGCGCCTTGTTTTACATGGATTACATAATCGGAGAATATTTGTTTTCCATTTAAATTGGTTAATATAAAAGCAGACATTTCGCTCTTTATAGATATGTTTTCTGTAAGGAAAGTACACGGAGTGCACACAAATAAACTTAGTCTTTACATATTCTAAAGATGTATTACTCTTATCTGTTATGAGCAAAAATGACAGAGTATTTCAAGAGTGAGCGCACCGGCGCCTCCATCTGTCCTGCAGTGAGCGCTAGGCTACTGTTCAGCTTCCACACTCCGCACAGACACTGAATAGCGCACATTTCTCCAGGTTAACATTAGATTGAGCAGATATGTAAAGTTGCTAATACTTGCATACTTCAGACGATAAGTCATATTTGAGGTCGATGAATGATAGGCGAGTGTTTGGATGTCCTGTATGATGTACTGTATTACCACATAAACCAGCCGCTAACGATCTGTTCATCACGGACTGCATGACTTCACCTGTTGATTTTTTTTTTTCTGCGACTAATAAAATTTTGGCCGACCAAGCCTCTTCTGGTCGACTTCTAGGTTAGTCGATTATTAGCGGGCAGCCCTAGTAGTAACGCTAACTATACCATGGTGTTGTGGCAGAAATAGTGAATCTGTGCTTTTGTTCTCATTTATTTAAATTTTTAGTTTAGTGAATTCCGCTTTAAAAGCCTTATTTTTGTTTTTAGATTGCAATGTTACAATGTTAGAATAAAACATGATTTTAACCCTTTTTTTGCACATAATATAAAGGCTTACATGGTTACATTCACTTAATATGTATTGTTTTGTTGGACAACATTGGGTGGTAAGTGAAATATACATATATTAAATACAGATTTTTTAAATCCAAAAATGAAAATACCGAGATATATACCGTAGGGGTGTAACGATTCATCAATATGGATCGATACATCGATACGGGTATCGAAATTTGGTACCGAACGACGAGACGTTTTTCGATACTCGATGGTATCGAGGCAATTTGGTCGGTGCCTAAAAAGTATCGAACTCGATACCCAGCCCTAATAAGGACTATCTGAAGGCACAAGGTGAGCATAAAAGATGCTCGGGATTGTTTGCGGAACAGTCGACTGCTGTGTGAGAAGTTTTCTGCGCACACATCTGAAGCGTGCGCACACAGACAGCAGCGTCTACACCGCGCGAATACTAAATTGAGCTTTTTTCCGCTTTTTTGTGCATGGATGAATAAATACAGACAAAATTTCTTCAAAATGCGCGTTTTGGCAAATATCCTAGTAAAGTCAAGTCAAGTCACCTTTATTTATATAGCACTTTTGCTAACGCGCTGCAGGTGCGCTGCACGGTTTTAGAATAAAAGTGAACGATCAAATTAATCAGATTAGGTTGAAAGATAATATCAGAAATATGGTGGGAATTAAGTTATATTTTATCACTTTAAACAACAGAGAGTGATAGTATAGATAGAGATTCTTCAGAAAAGCGAGGCTACACGGAGCTACAATCACAAACCACCAGACAGGAAGCATGAAGTAAACACAGTCGGTTAGGCATATGTCTTAACGTAAAGAGTTGAGAAAGAAAAGGCATGTGTATCAATATATTAAATCCATGCTTTCGTTCTTAAAGTGAAAGCAAACTAATAATAAATCTAATGCTGTTAAAGAAAAATACAAGTGCTCACTACTCCTGACTAAATAACCTTTGTAACATCAAAAATGATTAATCTGTATTTAATTTATACATTGAAGACTATGCACTTATTTTACATTTTATTATTAAATTTCTGTAGTGTACCTGAAAATTGATTTAGACTGAGCTGAAAAATCTGAAAAGAACTGTTTATTGAACTTGTGTCTTTGTATTTATTTTCTGCTATTGGTTGTAATTTGGTTATCTGTAGAAAAGATTTTTAGCACTGAGCCCATAGTAGCAGCCAGAATTGCTTTTCCAATGGTTTATTTTCTTTATTATTTAAAAAAAAAAAGTGTAGGCCTATTTTTTTTGTTGTGAATGTCCCAATTGAGGTACAGGATGTAAAAATTTCAGATAAATGTTCATGTTATATATTTTGGTTGCATGGTCCTTCCCCCCAGGTCCGCCGCGGCCGCCATGATCGGCTCCCCCGGAGGGGGGTGGGGGAGTAGAGCGCAGTCTCGAGAGTACCCCCCGGCCTGCGATGGGGGTATGTGACGAGAGGACCTTCTTCCCGACCTACGAACGTTGTTACAGTGACGAACCATCCGATTTATACCCCTAATATACCGTATATTGCAAATTGGCGAAAAAATATCGAGATATTAATTTTTGTCCATATCACCCAGCCCTATTGTGAACAAACGCTTATATAAAATTTTTAAAAATGCATCCAATCACCATTATAACCAGTAGATGGCAGCAGAGGAGCGCTTATTGGCTTATTAGTCATTCATTTCTACTTTTTCCTTTATATTTTGAAATTATAAAATCACTATTATAAAATATAATATCAAATCATCAAGAAATCAGATTTTGTCAGAGTTTTGCAATTTTTTGTGTGTGAAGTAAGAACAGTCACAAAGTGCCTCGAAAAACAAACTTTTCTTCAATTTGCGACTAAATCACATAATCACTGAAGTTGTTTGTCTGTATAATACGATAGAATACAATATATACATTTTCTACATAAAAATTTGATTTTGCACGTTACTGTTGTTAATAAAATTAATTTTGTAAGCTTCCCAACTCAAGCTTAGTGCTTTACTGCCAAATGTGTATAAACATGAAATAAACAAGAAATGAACATGAATATATTTTTAATATACATTTTTTAACAAAAATGGCTGCCCACTGCTCCGGGTGTGTGTTCACGGTGTGTGGGTGTTCACTGCTGTGTGTGTGCAGTTTGGATGGGATAAATGCCGAGCACTAATTCCGTGTATGGGTTCCGATACTTGGCCACATGTCACATCACTTCTTCTTTACTGTAATGAGCAATGTCATATCCCTCTACAATTTAAAAGAATACTGTACACTGAAATTTCTATGAGTTAAGAGTATGTGAGTTATGAGTATGTGAAAGATTGCATTGCAGGCTGACTTAAGTTGTGCCCCTAAATTTTCTGCTTCTGCTCTTAAAGAATTTCAGTCAGGGGCTACAGTGCTCTTAGTAAAAATAGTAGAGCTCGACCGATATATCGTTTCGCCGATTTTATCGGTTGATATGAGCATGTTGCAGATATATCGGCATATATGCCACCGATATGACTTTTTTTTTTTACAGAACATAAAATGCAGATAAAATGCTTGTAAATGGTGTAATTATGTAGCAATTCCATTCCAGTGTTTGCTACTGGCGACCTGGATGAAACGCTTTAAAACAAGATGTTGACTGAGCAAAGCCAGAGAAGAGCAGAAGCAGGAGATGAAGTGATGATAAAAAGGAGCAAAGTTTATTGAAAAATCTTAGTTGCATATTTTTCAATCCTCACACTTTATCTGACCAGTACACATCCAACAAGTTGTGTTTTACCAAACTGCTTCACAATAACATCCCATAAACCTTGAGTTTCCATTAACATTCCCTCTTATCACTTATTCATACAGACAAAACAGTTAAAGAAACCTCACATTAATTAGATTAAACAATGAAAATACATAAGAAATATAAAACAAAATAATATCATAAAATAATAAATTATCAAATAATTAAATTATGTAAATCGTAAATGATAATACAAACAATAAATGAGTAATGGTTATAAATGATTATATGAATAAATTATTATAAATTAATAAAAACATAACACAAATGTATGGTCGCTCTCTTGATGCAACACACAGTTTGTATTTGAGGATCCTCAGATCCTTCATGTTGTTGATCAAACATATTTAATAGTTCTCCCTATAGAAACATGAGGTTTGTGCCTATAATAGTTTAAAACTAATAATTTGAAGATCAGTGTACCTCATTCATGGAAAGATCCAGGGATGTATAATTTATAAAATTGCATCAAAAGGATCAACATTTTGTAATGCAATTGTCTACTTTCTGCTGTTATATCAGGGTTCATCTTTATGTCCTTTCACTTTATTATGTCCTTTCACTTTTCTGTTTTTTTTAACGAGTTACTGACAAATGTACTGTTTTTACTTTTGTTTCAGAGTTGATTGAAGATAATAAGTAGAATTGAGTGAATCTGAGGAGAAAAATCATGTCAGAAGTGTAGAAAACCCCAAACAGAAAGATTTAAAGAAAAAAAGAGCCAAGAAATCTTTCACCTGCACTCAGTGTGGAAAGAGTTTCACATACAAACATATTCTTGAGCTTCACATGAGAGTTCATACTGGAGAGAAACCATTCACTTGTGATCAGTGCGGGAAGAGTTTCTCACACTCCGCAAACCTTAAGAGACACATGGACATCCACACTGGAGAGAAGCGGCACGCATGTGATCAATGCTGCAAAACATTTTTTAGAGCTTCAGAACTGAAGAAACACCTGATAGTTCATACAAAAGAGAAACCACATTCATGTTATTTGTGTGGAAATAGGTTTTCACATCGACAAAGTTTGAAAGAACATGAGAAAATACATACTGGTGTGAGAGAGTACATGTGCTTTGAGTGTGAAAAGACTTTTACTACAGCGCAGCGTTTAAAACTGCACGAGAGGATTCACTCTGGAGAGAAACCGTACAAGTGTTCACACTGTGACAAGAGATTCATTCAGTCAGGAACACTGAAAAGACATGAGAGTATCCACACTGGAGAGAAACCGTATCACTGCACTGCATGTGGGAAGTGTTTCAGTCGTTCATCTGCTCTACACAGTCATACAAAAAACAATCACAGTAAGTAGATCATCTTCAGATCCAGCACTTTCAGATCTGATGCTGTGTCCTCAACAAATGTTACACAATAATGCATCGAGCAATAAAATATAATCTGGATACATCTGTCATTACAAGTGACAAGACAAAGAAACAATATCTAAAGTTGAATAAAGTTCATCTTCATCTTCAAAACCATCAGATTTAACTGAGATTCAGATCAACTCAAAGATAGAGTTTCTCCCCAAAGAACAATGAACAAAGGTTTTATTCCTGTAAATCATTTTGCTTCATGATATATCATTGTGCTTTCTTATGGGTTTCATATTATGTTCATTCGTTTCATATTATGTTCAATATATTTAATAAGCAGGATTGTAAGAGTATTAAAACCTTACCGATACCCATCCCTACTTGTAAGTCAGTAGGAGAGAGAGATCCAGCTCATTAGTTTTCACTTTTACTTAGCTTGTTTTTGTATTTGCTGATTAAATGTAATTATTGATCAAATGTTACCTTTTTTATTAATACATTATCCTTACTTTTTATATTTTATCAAAAACTTTTATACTTAACGAGCGCTAAAAGAGTACGTACTGTAGAGCCAGTTAAGAATGAATGCGATCCGGCCATCATTCGCCATATTGATATTATCATGTGACCTATGATGTAATAACAAGCGCAACAACTTAAAAGATATGAGCGACAGGTTTAATTAATCTATCTGTAAATATTTCGTTTTATTTTAAGTGCAAAATTTTTCATCCACAGGCAAAACTGGCTTAAATCTCCTTTGTTTTCCTCTTTTTCTTGTTGAATTTAACTCTCTCGTTTCATCCCGCAGGCTTATAAATAACAGAAATACAACAACAACAAATGCAATTTTTGATGCATTATGATTATAAGAATATTATGATTATTCAAAGATATTTAAGTATTTTTTCTGTGTATATAATCTCATACTATGATGTACGCAAACCCATTATAGTTATGTTTACAGTTTTTTTTTGTCATTATGATTTTT